GATGAGCTTTAAGGTCCCTTCCAACCCATGATAAATCAAAACTGTTGTTCCTTTGACTTGAACTATATTTTGTTCAGCAAGAACCTTGCACCTTGTCAATTCTTCAATTTTTGCAAATATGCAAGATATTTAGATAAAAAAAAAATAGAAATTAACTTCTACTTAAAGAAAACTCAACACATTAATTATGTATAAAATCCATTTTTCAATTACTATTAATATTTTATAAGATTTCTTGATACTGTGAAATGAGAAATGTTATTCTGTGTTCTATCAAATGACATTATGGTAAAAAACCCAAATCTAAATGGTAATATTTTAGGCTTTGGGGAAAAAAAAAGTTCATTCTAAAATAAGCCAAAGGTAGCATGTTTTAGTAGTGGCAAACATCTGAAATAACAGTGGTTTTAAATCAAATTTTCTGGAAAACCATCTCCTGATATAGAATTCTTAAAAAACCCCACAGATATGGCTTATTGTGTTAATTACATATTCTTTTTCATAGTGGCTTGTGGATTTTAGCTATTTAATTTACAGGAGAAGACTTACAAATCTAGGTGGTTGCTTGCAGTTTCGAGGTTCAATTTCTAATGACTTGTTGAACAGATAATCTGTAAACTCTTTTTCCGGTATCTTCCCCATAGGATTGAGATTTTCAAAGAATTTCTAAATGAAACAAGCATCAAAAATATTTTAAAAATAAGCATATACATGGAATTTTAATGAAATCTCATAATTCACTGATTAAAAATCTAGCTTTTCACTATAGTGAAGCTTATTTCCAGGAAATACAGAGTAAAACCTTCCCCAAAATAAGTACATAACAACCCAATGCAAGAAACAATCAAGTAACTTTTCTGACATGAAAGAACAACCTTGTGTCAAGTAACTAGGTATGGTAAATTTAAGTCTTCTGGAAATTGTTTGCCAATATTTTTGAGAAGTGACTCGTGCAGAGCACAGCAGTGTTGACAGCCATGCAACAGTGTCCTGTACACCTGCCTTACCATCCATCACAGCTGCTGTTCAGTCAGTGTATCTTATTTATTCTGTTTTATTGCTAAAAAAAAATCTCTCTGATACCAGGCTGCAGAACAGTAGGGGGATGAACACGACCCAGAACATGGAATCCAAGTAAGCAAACCCCCATTTCCGGCTAGTCCTTTGCTGTGGTACTTTGTTGTCTACCACTCACCGTTCCCCTCTCTTCTGATGGTCACTGTTCACACAAGATTAGGTCTAATACTAGAAGATTGTTTGGCAGTTTTTTGTTGTATACATTTTTTTCCCTCTCCTGTCCCCAAAACAGATATTCAGTGTTTGATTACCCGAATTTCTGGCTCTATCCGCAAACAGTAAGGCTGGTTTTGATATTGTTGAATTTCTCCTGTAATTTCAGCCACTTTTCTCCTCTTACTGAAGTTAATTAATTCTTTCCCTTGTCTTTTAAGGAAGTCAGGATTCCCTTCTTCTGTCTTCAAAATATTTGTTAGGTATATTCCTGATAAAAAGAGAAGTATTTTTTAAATTTAATTTTCATTCCAAGAGCTGATTTCATTCTTTCAAAAGAATTATTTAAAAAGTCTGAGTCTAAGTAGACCATTCCCTTTAACACTCCAATAGCGGCAAGAATGAATCAAGTCTCCATTTCACATATGGGAACACGATGTTTTATCTCCTTCACATGAGATCCTGAGTTTAGGAAAAAACATCTTCAGGTCATCACCATAAACAGCTCACCAATGTGGAGGCAGTGTTAAACAAAGTAAGGTAATATGCATACCAATATAATACCAGTAATCTGAATACTAAACTAGAAAAATTAATTCTATATAAAAGACACTGAGTCTTTTGCCTAGTCTAGTAGAGGAAGGTGTCCCTGCTGATGGCAGAGGAGTTGGAACTGGATGAGCTTTAAGGTCCCTTCCAACCCAAACCAGTGTGTGAAGTCTAAAAATATTACAAACTTAGGAAGTCCAAAGTCACACATTATATTATAGATTCTTTTAGAGCTAAACACAACCCTGAACACTTGAAGCAATATTGAAACACCTGCATCAAACTCAGATAACACTGACAGTATTAGCCTGCCCTGGTGTTACTTACCAAAGAAAGGCACACAGGGTGGATTGATCGACTTGAGCTTCGCTAGATACTTTTTGAAATGATCTTGACTTAATTCTACTGCTTCATCCAAAACTCTTTTTTTTCTTTCCTGTAGTGCCTAAGTTGTCAAAGCAAAAAAAAATAAGGATGGAAATCTTCTCGATAGCAGTCAGCAAAAACAAGGCAATTCCCCAGCTCTCAGCAAAAGTTAGGAACTGAAATTCAGGTTGGAAAGCACCTCTTGTAAATGGTTTGCTCTGGACTACAGCACTAGCAGTCCAACAGCGCAGTCATGTGAATCATCAGCCTATTGTAAACAGACTGTTATTTTATCAACTCACAAGCATAATACTGGTCTTCAAATTTAATAAAAATTAAACACTGAATTATGAATTTAACTAAAAGACCTGGTCCTGCCTTTCAAAGACATACAAAACTCAAACCATTTTATTTATGCTTCTTTTTCTGTTTTAGTCAAGGGAAGCTTTGCTGCCAAATCCTAGGCATCTATTTTCCTTGGCAAGTGAAAAATGGAATCACTACTTGTGTAGCAGCCTCTCTTTCTACTCTCCATCTGAACCATTTCAGCAGCTATTTGTTTCTGCCTCTGACAGTCTGAATTTTCTGAAAGTCTCTCATCCAGGAGAAGTTTTGTGATCGACTGAAATCCAAGTTTTAGCTATCCCCTCCCCACGCTCTTCTACCCCCACATTTCTTGCACAGGTGAGAAATGCTGCTGTTAAAGTGTGACAGTCCAGAGTCCTCACCCCTGGGATCTTCCTCTTTCATACCCATGAGATGCTGGACTGAAGCTGAGGTTCATGTCAGACAGGTTAACGCACAACAATCAAATGGCCACAGTGCTTCCCCTTTTCAGGCTGAATACATGTGAGAAAACATCTGCTGAAAAGCTCCACTTCCCGTTACAAACCCTGTGAGACACCTAGTCCATCTCCTATGTTTTCTCATGAAGAACTTTGAACATTTCACACTTGTTTTCTCCCATGAAAGCAAGTGTGATATGGATACTATGGATTTCACTTCAGAAGTGTATGTGATACATTTCTGGATTCTGAATTTTTTTTTCTCCCCAAGAACAACGCCCAAAACTTACCTCGAATGTGTGATCTAGTCTGTACACTGACACAGAGTTCATTGCACTGACGATCTCCAAAACACCATTGAAATTATTCAGATCTTGAAAAACCTGCAAGATTTCTATAATTCTACTCAGTACAGCCACTCGCTCTTCAAAGTTCTCGGTTTCCACGATGCACCTGATCAAAAGACATCATTTGAGAAACACTGATAAATAAAACCTGACATTTTGCTAGCTACTAAATAAAAAATGTCCAAGCCAAAACTGTACAGTACATCCAATATGCACATTCTGGCTCTCTCTCAAGAATCTCAAGTACAAATTTTTGTAATCACATCTTACATATGTTCAAGTTGGAAAGCCAATAAAGGTTTTGGCACAGGCTGTAGAATAATAAAGCAAGCCCTGAGCAAGATCCAAGATAAGCAGGGTGACTCTCATGCTGCTCTGTCTACAGTGGCATTTTAAACTTGCTAGGTTAGGTGGACACATACAAGCTGCTATATCTTCTGACTGCAGCATTGGCCATGTCCTCAGAAGTACTTAAATTATCTTGTATGAGAAGGGAGAGAGACTAAGATAAGGGGACAGACACAACAGTGCTTTCATCAGAGATGTCAAAAAGTGGTGCTGAGTCCTGCACTGCCTTCGACACCTTTTGATGTGCAGTAGAAATGTAAGCAGGACCCATGCTGACCAAGTGGACATGACTGGAAAAAAAATCTTCCAGTCTCAGGAAAAGGGAACATATGCAATTGGCATGGCACGAACCCTTGAACCAAAAATACTCTGCAGCCATCTCAAGATTCAAGGCAACAGAATTCAAACAGCAGGAAAATGTTTCCCTCTGAATTCCAGCAGGAGTTCACACCACGATGCTATCACCACCTGTACTTACTTTTCAAACCAAAGAGTAAGATTTGTAGTGTGACGAATCATTTTCAATAAGTTTGGGGAGTTAATTTCCTTATCTTCTTTAGTCCACACACTACCAACGAGCTCGGAAGGCTGCACTGCCCTGATAATGACAAAGCAAGATGCAGAAGAATACTCAATACAATTCATAATTGTATGTTTCTTCCCTTAATCATGACTCGATATTTCACAAATACAATCCAACCTACTGCAGAACAGTTACTTAAAATAACTTTTTGATGAGTATTTGACTACAGGAGGAAATAATTTTTTATCTTAATTGAAATTGGCACGTTTGAGTAAGCATTTTCCGATAAGAAAATCGCAAAAGATTAAGTTTAATTTCCTGAAAGCTTATGAAAACATCTTAAAGACAGTTAATTTTTTTTTTTTAAATAGGAAGCTGAAGTATTTTGAGCAACCTGCTGGAAAAGTGGTGTATTTCAAGAGAAAACCTGCTCTCACTGAAGCACAAAATGATGCTTCACCTTCAAGTTTCGTAAGACCTTAAAGAATTTCTACCCAGCAAAACTTAGCTCTCACATCAAGGCTATCTCTATTTATCACAGGTAACAACAGAGCGAGGAAACAGTGGAGTACTTATGACACTAGACCAAAAAACTGCTTCAGAATTACACCAGGGGACCCTGACATACCAGTGCTATGGTTATTTATATGCATGTAACATCTGGGCTTTGCTATGCAGCTATAAAAGAAAGGAGCAGAGACAATCTTGTTTTGTTTTTTTTTTTAATGATGCAACAAGTGTTTCTTATTCATATAATGCTAAGTTTGCTTTTAAGGAGACAATACAAGGTAGTATTATCTACTCATGATATTTTAGTGTCCTTCCTGCACTTATTTATCTTGTCAGAAGTCTGATACAGAGATAAAAAAGCTAAAAATTTAATTTTTTTTTGCCTTGCATCTTTTGATATTGAACAGATGGCAGGAAAATATCTTTCCACACACTCTGAAAGTCAAGGGGACATACTTTTGACTTAGGAACTCTTTCTTGCTCAACTAATCTAATAAAGGGATGTATTAGTTCAATCCCTACCTGTAAAGGTCGGACTCGAGGAGCGTCAGCTGTCGAGCGATTTCGATCGGATGCAGAGTCATGAGGTCCAGCGCCTCGCTGTGCCCAACGCGCCAGATGTGCCACTCGATTGGGGGAGGTGGGCTCTCAAAGGTGATGTTGTGACTAATCCCATTGGCTTGAGCTTTCTTTCTCTTGATGATTTTAGCAATTGATTCCACCCACTTCTTCATGGATTTTCCTGCAAAACAGAAACCATTTAAAAAAATTTTCCCTTTTTAATGCCGTCTTAACTGACTTCTGGTAATTTAATAAAACTATCTCCCCCAAAATTTGTACATGCACTCAAAATTCTGCATTTCTGCATGCAAATTAATTAGGTTTGTAGTTCCCTATTTTTTTTTCTTATGGGTTCTCGCACCTGTATCAGTTGGCAAATACAGACAGACGTGAATTAATTTTTAAATTAATCTTTAAATACATTTTTACATGTGTTTAAACCACATTTACTGACAGTTTCAGAGTGGAAAAAAGTGACCCTGTATACACTGTATTTTACTTTTACCCCTCAGCTGCAACCATCTCCACTTTGCCAGCTTCAATTCTAAGAATTAAAGAAGGAAATAAACAGCTTCAAGTGAGATCTTTGCTACGTGCTGTAAAGTCTAGAATTGCCAGGATAATGATTAAAATTGACATGCCAACATGGTTGCTCTCCACACAGGCTGCCAAAAAAATGTAGTTCATAAGGGTTTGCTCCAGAGGAAGCGATACCACATGGGTCAAGTATCCTCTCCTAAAAGGATAATGATTTTCAGCTGGAAGTATCAATAAAAGTGCAAAGAACAAGATGGAAAAACTAATCTCAGTAACCAACAGAGAAGGAATACAACCTGGGGAGGAGTAAGGTGAGAGTCTGAATTATAGAGTCAGGCAAGAATGAACATTACTGTCCAGAAATAAATACACTGAAGGTAAATATTACAATGCCTGAAGTAATTTTTTGGTAGCTGTTTAGGCTCCAGGCCAAAGCTTCCTCATGCAAAGGAGAGTCTCATAAACAGCTCAATTAAAGGCATTAAAATTACTCATGTGTGTAAAGATATTCTCACGCCTAAAACCTGTCAGGATTAGACCAGGAGGTTGTACCAAAATGTGGAAGAACAACAGGACCACCAATTACCATACCTCTTACACTGGAAATAAACGTCTCCAATCTCTCTAGTAACTCCGGATCTCTTTCAAAATCATAAAAATGGTGCTCAACCCAGTGCCGAAAAACATTCAATATTCTGAGGAAGGAGAGAAATAATAAAATGTTATGTTTGTTCCAAGGCTCACCCCACGTAAAAGCTAAATGAAACACAACTCTACAAAAGCTGAGTTACAGATTCATGTGGTAGACAGCTATCAAAACACGTAAGGACCAAGGGGCAGAACAAAGACTAAAGGTGGCACCAATGACCACAGAAGTCCCCAAGTATTTAAAATCTAATTTCCAGTCTTAAAATTATATATAGCTTGGCATTTTTTTAAAATGAAAGAATGCTAGCGTTGAGGTGGTTTCAGGAGAGGAAAAAACTTATCAAAATCAGATAAAACTAGTATTTCCAATGTAATTTTCTTGGGTTTCACAAGAAACTTCTTTCCAGTGAGGGTGACAGAGCCCTGGGACAGGCTGCCCAGGGAGGGTGTGGAGTCTCCTTCTCTGGAGACATTCAAGACCCACCTGGACGCCTTCCTGTGTGATCTCATTTAGGTTCCTGCTCTGGCAGGGGGGTTGGACTGGATGATCTTTCGAGGTCCCTTCCAATCCCCAACATTCTGTGATTCTGTTTTTTTAACTAACAAAGCTAATTAGGATCCCCTATTTACTAAGAAACAAATTTGTAATTGTTTCTTTCCTATACACAAATTTCAGCTTAGAAGTTGTTGCAAGTGTACTGCCCCAATTTTACAACTTTTTAATTACACACATGGCTGTACTAGATCCAGTACTTCCTTTAAGGATGACACTCAACTTTCTCTTGATTTTTCTTGACACAAACAGACCATTAATAAACAAGCCTCTAGACGTCAACTACAACTGCTCTTCTGCCTTCTACTCCTAGGATGTATCAGAATAAAAAACTGTTTTGCCTCTTTTTTAGGTAAACAAGTTGAGGTTGTACCTCAAAACTTTGATTTATCAGGGTGCAGCACATCACCTTACCTGAAGAGAGAGGAAAAATCTTCTACCTCAACCAGTACAATAGATTTTTCCCTGTGCCAATTCAACAGGTGGGACAGGACGATGGGTTTACTGGAGCAGATGGTAACAGTGAGATGTGGTCACTGCTGCTCCACTGCCTTTGCAGAAGTGGCTCAGCTGTATGCTGAGCACTGCTGAAGTCTCCCCACTCTTCCCAGCTCAGGATATTAAGGTAAACCAGAGCTAATTGTGTATCAGACTGCTGTTTGTGGTGGCTCAGCCCTGTAGACTGGGGGCAAGAACATCTCAGAGGGACGAGAAAGGGCAGACAACTGATTGTAATCTGACAGTCTGTTGTAAGTCAGAGCACTGGGCTGGTTTAGCTTAGTCAGATAAAGGGTACTCTACATGAATACACGGAGAAGTTACAAAGTTCTGTTCTTTCTAGTGTATAAATTAAAGAATAAGGTTTATCCCATGAAAGAATGGCTCCCCAAACAGATCATTTAGGCTGGAAATTAATGACAGCTTCTACCCTCAAAGGAGTGATGTTTTGAAACACGTTCTCGGTAACAGTAATACAGGATCTTATCTAATCAGTCTTTGACTTTGAGATATCATGGCAGGAATACTGAAAGAGCAAGAAAGATTGCCTGGTTCTGCTGACTGCATTTCCTGCTTAGCACCTCCTCCTTCTCATGACCTCACATGCATTTAATCTAGTTAAAGACACTGCAGTTTCCACGCCTGTGCACTGCACAGCACATCTACAGCATTTTCTACAAGATGGGGAGTAAGCACTGGGGAAAGAAGGGAGAGAGCGAGGGATGAGCATCTTAGAATCATAGAATCATCGAATGGTTTGGGTTAGAAGGGACCTTAAAGATCATCCAGTTCCAATTCCCCTGCCAGCAGCAGGGACACCTTCCACTAGACCAGGTTGCTCAAAGCCTCATCCAACCTGGCCTTCAACACTTCCTTGGGCCAACCTGTTCCAGTGTCTGACCACCCTCACAGTGAAGAACTTCTTCCTAATATCTCATCTAAACCTCCCCTCTTTCAGTTTAAACCCATTTCCCCTTGTTTTGTCATTAACTGCCCTTATGAAAAGTCCCTCCCCAGCCTTCCTGGAGCCCCTTCAGGTACTGGGAGGCCACTAGAAGGTCTCCCTGGAGCCTTCTCTTCTCCAGGCTGAACAGCCCCAACTCTCTCAGCCTGTCCTCACAGCAGAGCTGCTCCAGCCCTCGCATCATCCTGGTGGCCTCCTCTGGACTTGTTCCAACTGCTCCAGGTCTCTCTTGTGATGGGGACTCCAGAACTGGACACAGTATTCCAGGTGGGGCCATAATAATCTTCACATTATCCACCTTCTTCCTAAATCTCAGATCTCTCTGAAGTAGAGGTCAGTGTTATTAACGACACTAGAATTTACAAAGTTCTGGGCAGAACAACCTAACAGCTCAAATTCAGACATATTTTCAACTGCTACAGTTAAGAGTTTCAAGCTACTAGAAACACGTAGTATCTCCTAAATTCAAATATTAACTATAAGCCACAGAAGGGTGTGTGTTAAATAGCAGCTTTAAACCACATCTCTCATGGAGCAGGCACCTGTAAATGGATTCAGCTCCCCAACCATAGAATAAATTAGACATCAAAGAGCAGCTGTCACAATAAGAGGTAACTAATCTCCCAAACAAGGAAAGAAACCAGAAAGCAAAACCAAAGACCCTAGAAACTCTGGAACAAGGCACAGATTTCAAACAGCTCAAACACAACATATGAAGGCAAAAGAGCTAAATTGATTTTGGAAATTAATAGCAAGAAACGTGGTTAATTGCTGCCTCAAACTTGTCTAGAGGTTCCATTTCATGGGTAAACACTTGTCCTGCTCAGCTATGGCAGTCAGCAGTGCTGCAGGGAGATGCATTTGTACCATGCAAGGGGATTGTAAGAAGGTCCTCAAGCTTAGTTAGTAGAGGAGGCTATAAAAAATAGCAACAAAAGCAATATAACAGTATTTAAACTCTTGCACCAGTTATGTCACACAAGCCCATCCTATGTGAGTTCCTGTGAAGGGGCTTTATAGGCACCTGTGTGAATGAATGCAGAAACAGTCACCAGAAAAAACAAGCTGAAACCAGGAAAAATGTGCTGAGAGGCAGCGTGTGAAGCTCTCCCAAGAACTGATAACTCTGGAGACT